TGTGTAAATCATCGCTGCTAAGACCCTGTGCAATTTACATACTCTGTGAAATATCCCATATCTTTATTATACTGTGTATATATTGTAAATAGTCTTGTGTCAACAGTAATTCAATTTAGTGCCTTATTTTTTTATATATATTTTTTATTTATATGTACATATATATAAACATATACTGTATAAACATATCTTATATTTTTTAATCTTTAATTTTCTTTAATTCAAGTAACATTGTCACCCTCCTTTTTCTGTCTGTGACATGTTAATTCCCCAAGTGTGGGATAAGAAAGTTTTATCTTATTTTATCTTATCTTAGCTTACTAGATAACACGTTATGATTATAACTATTTAATAAGAAAGTAGTGTTTGGGTGCAGCAAAAAATTAAGATAAACTTCAGGTAACTGCAGCCTCTGCTCGGTAAATTTAACGGTCCTAAAACTGCGGCCCTGAAACTGCAGCCCCCGGTACTGCACCTTTACCTTACTTGGGCAGGGACAACTGATTTAATATGAATATCTTGCTAAACATTTACCTGCACTGATTAAATGTAGGTTAAAAAGGAGTGAAATGTAGGCTAACACTAGTCTGTAGCTAGCTTATTTCACTATGGACATTAAGCTAACATGTTCATTTCTACCACTCACAGACTATAGGCTACCCACCTTTCTTGGAGAAAAACTGGATCACATATTGACACCCTTTCTTTTGCCTCTCCTCTCTCTCCTTTCTCTTTTTCCTTTTTTGAAAACTGGATTTTTTTTTAGTAGCTATTAGGTAGCATGATGATGACTGTAGCGTTGTAGCGCAACTGCTGACTGCTACTAGGCACCAAACCATTTCATGCAGATACAGGGGAGCAATAAATGTGATACCTTGTCGAATTCGGCAGGCAGAAATTTGAACTATGTCTCATCATACTTGATGAAAGGCCAGAAGGTCACCAAAAGCACTGGAAATAAACCTCTGGGGACAACAAACAGCCAAATTACATTTTACATATCTTGCCAGTAGTTGTAAAGACATGATCTTATGTGATCTCATGATCACAATCTTAACTGAGTGGTCTGAAAGGTTGCACTGTCACACAGAAGAAGTTTGTACACATACAGTATGCCTTTACACATGTTTGGAAGGCACTTTGTACAGACTGGTTTGTTCAAAGCATTCTTCGACCATGGATTTGTGTATTGGCTGTTTCAGTTTTTCCGCACTGTAAATTCCAATTTGATAGACTTAGAGTGGCATGCAAAAGTTTGGTCATCCCTGGTCAAAATTTCATTTACTGTGAAGAGTTAAGTAAGTAGAAGATGAACTGATTTCCAAAAGGCATGGAGTTAAAGTTGACACATTTCTCCAATATTTTAAGCAAGATTACTTTTTAATTTCAATCTTTTACAGTTCCAAAATAACAAAAGAGGAAAAGGGCCTCAAGCAAATATATAGTCAGCCTGCATGATATGTAGTAGTGCCCCCTTTGGCAAGAATCACAGCTTCTGAACACTTTTTGTAACCAGCTAAAAGTCATGCAGTTCTTGTTTGGGGGATTTTCACCCATTCTTTCTGCAAAAGGCTCCTTGCTCTGTGAGATTCTTGGGCAGTCTTGCATGCACTGCTCTTTTGAGGTCTATCCACAGATGTTTAATGATGTTTAGGTCAGGGGACTGTGAGGGCCATGGCAAAATCCTCAGCTTGCTCCTCTTGAGGTAGTACATTGTGGATTTTGAGGTGTGTTTAGGATCATTGTCCTGTTGTAGAAGCCACCCTCTCTTCATCTTCAACTTTTTTACAGATGGTGTGATGTTTGCTTTCAGAATTTGCTGGAATTTAACTGAATCTATTCTTCCCTCTACCTGTGAAATGTTCCCGTGCCACTGGCTGCAACACATGCCCAAAGCATGATTGATACACCCCCTCTGTTTAACAGTTGGACAGGTGTTCTTTTCACGAAATTCTGCACCCTTTTTTCTCCGAACACTCCTTTGCTCATTGTGTCCAAAAAGTCCCTCTTTGTCAGGCCACAGGACTTGTTCCCAAAAAGCATCAGGCTTGTTTATATGTTCCTTTGCAACCTACTGTTGCAGAATTTTGTGGTGAGGACACAGGAAAGGTTTTCTTCTTATGACCCTTCCATGAAGGTCATATTTATACAGGTGTCACTGCACAGAAGAACAGTGCACCACCACTTCAGAGTCTGCTAAATTTTCCTGCAGGTCTTTTGCAGTCAGACAGGGGTTTTGATTTGCCTTTCTAGCAATCCTACAAGCAGATCTCTCAGAAAGTTTTCTTGGATTTCCACACCTCAACTCATTATTTGTTAAATGCGTTCATTTATGATTGTTTTTTCTTTTCTTTCCACTTCTCTTACACTACATTCACAAACACAAACACAGACACATGCACACAACGTCATAATCATTAACACATCCACCAAACTTTCATCCTAGAAACCTTGTGTTATCATTACTTGTTGATTGTTCTGATTTTGTTTTCTTTTCTCTCTTACACTTCATGCACACACAGACATACATACTTAAATCACTGAATGTCATGGACCAGTTTTTCTGTTGCTACAGCACTGCCTCCTGTCTTCCTGGGTTGCTCTCTCCGATGGTTGGCTCCGGTACCAACCTGCTATCGATGCAATCCCCCACCCCTACCCCCCAACCTCTCTCAGTCTCTGTCTCTCCGTCTTGCTCTCTCTCACATACACTCTCTCTCTTTGACACACACAAAAACACACACCCATTTTTCTTCCCCTTCCCCTGGGATCCTTCTGCCTTCACACATTACAAGGACGAAAAAATGTGTGATAGATATATATGTTAGATATGTCTGTGTGGATTATATGTATTTTTAAAACAATAAAGCTCACTCACTTCCTGAAAATATTCATTCAAAGACACACACACACACCCACACGCACACACACACACACACACACACACACACACACACATATCCACCTGTTCATACAGCTTTGGTTTTGCTTGTATTTTTTTGTAATTTTTATTGTATGTCTCTTTCTTACTTCATGTAATCTTCTTTCTTAACTGGGTTTACGTCTCTGCACCTGTTTTCACTTGCTCTGTTATCACCGCATTACACAATAAAGTTAAAGAGGAAAAAAAAAAAAAAGACCTGCCATTTCTTAAATACATTATGAACTGAGGAAAAAGCTACCTGAAAACACTTTGCTACCTCCTTACAGCTTTGTGGGCATCAGTTATTTTAGTTTACAGAGTGCTAGGCAGCTGTTTAGAGGAGCCCATGGCCGCTTTGGAATTTGCATCACCTGGCCTTTCCTAATGATGATTATGAACAAGCCATAGCCCTAACAAGTTAAATAAGATGTCTGAGGGCTCAAATGTCTTGGGGTGCCCAAACTTTTGCATGGTGCCCCTTTCCCTTTTCACTCTAAAATTGTACAAAACAAAAATAATACACTAATCTTGCTTAAAATGTTGAAAAACATGTTTCATCTTTATTGGAGATATGTTTATCATCTACTGACTCAACTATTCACAGTAAACAAAATTTTGACCAGGGGTGCCCAAACTTTTGCATGCCTCTGTATTCATAATATATCTAAAGCATTCGTCAACAAAGAAACAAAGGAGTCTCTTAGTGTAATGTAAAAATATTATAGGATCGGTATGGCAGACGGCATATACTCATATACTTTGTCTTATACCTTGTATTATCTCTTCTGTATTTTGATGCACTGTCTCAGAGCTAGATCAAATGAATAATTCATAATTAATATTATCTGAAGCCTAATTTTTATACAGGTAATATTCATACTGGTTTAAATAAACAATTTGATTTCACTGATGTAAGTAAATAATAATTATCAATAGGCTACTAATTTTTACAGTCATTAATTTAGTACCAGTAAATATAGCCTACACTTTCAAACCCTGCATAGCAAACTGCATCATCACTTGGAAAAACCTAATACACACACAGCAACGTTGGCAGCAAACACACGTTACAGAATCAGAGTCCGTGAGGCAGGTAAGAAATCCAGCTCTGCCCCATTTACATGATGCATATTGCCGTGTCCCATATATTTCAGCACTCAGCCGCTGTTGCTTTGGGGAGAAGCCAGTCAGATGCACAAGAGCTTTGGCATAGCACTTGCAAAAGAATATCATGGCATAGTAGCACAGTAAGATAAACTGCTGGATGTTTTATTGATTATACATTCTTAAGCATATATTTCACATTAGTGAACATATTTTAACCAAATATGTCCAACCCTGATGGTCATCTTTTGTACTAATGATCCAGATAAGAAACTTTCATGTCCACTTAAGCCTGGGAAGTGCTCCGATTTCCAGAACCTGACTTTCACTTGCTGAACACGTGGATGCCTGAAATCAATCCTGTAACTTAGCAACTATAACTCTAAAGAACATGCAGCTTGCTTCAAAGATTCAAAATCATTCCAGTAGATATTATCATGACTCAGACATGTTGTGTGTTAATCATACATACTAACTGTGAATACAAACATTTACAACACACAATTTTTCTCTTTTATTGTGCGTTGTATAATTCAGTGATGAGAAATAATACAAGACTTTAACATTTTATTTCCAATCAGTAACCCGTCTGGGCTTAAGACAATTAAGAGCATTCCATAAAGTGGCTTAGTAATCCTGAATGACAGACAAAGGGGAATCTATCAGACCTGATTCCTTCAGCATATTGAATAGCAGGCTAACTGAATGTGCACTAATCTAATCATTTCAACAAAAACCTAACAAGCTTTCAGTTGATCTTTCTGTGTTGCTGATTTAAAAGCTGTCCACCAGGGAAATACTATATTAGATGTGTGTTATTTTCTCCTGAAACATTTCCTTACAACAGTGTTTGTACCTGCTGAGTTCAAATGAGTTTCTGACTCTGTGTGAAGCAATGTCTCATGCCTACATGTTGGAATTAAGAAAAAAAAAAGACAGGAAAAGAAAGTCTCAATTGGTGTTTTATACTCACTCATCAATGCCCTCAACTAGCCTGAAGTTGAGGTTGTTGATGGACTGTTGTGGTCTGCCAGCATTGTCTATGAACACCAGTCTGGAGGGATCCTCCTTCCTTACCTGAAAACACACACATACACATGTTACACTTTCTCTCTTACACGCTCTCTGGCAAATAAGATGGACGAGTTGCTGCTGCTCACTCATAAAAACTTGGACTTAAGCACATCTGCCGCCCTGTGTTTCACCGCAACCTGGCTCAGTGAACACATCTCGGACAGTGCATTACGGCTGCCGGGATTCCAACTTTTCCGAGCGGACCACATCACGGAAAATGAAGGGAGGCTGAACGTGCTTCTACATAAGCAAAGGTTGGTGTACAGATGTCACAGTGTTAAAGAAGTCATGCAGCCCTCACTTAGAGACTCTCATCATAAATTGTAAAGCATTTTATTCACCACTTTGGGGCTCTCTGATCACTGTCATCATCTCATCCCGACCTACAGGCAGAAATTAAAAACTTCTAAGCCTGTAGTAAGGACTGTAACGAAGTGGACTGAGGAGTCAAAGTGTTTCTGAAGCTGCAGCCGCAGACCTAAACGAACTGAATGACACTGTGACATCAGTTTTTGTGAGGATATGTGTGTGCAGACCAAGACCTTCTGTACATATAGCAACAACAATCCCTGGGTCACACCCAAACTCAGGTGGCTGCACCAGGCCAAGGAGGAGGCCTACAGGAGCAAGGATCGGGCCCTGTACAAGCAGGCCAGAAACAAGCTGACAAAAGAGATCAGGGTAGCCAAGAGGGGCTACAGTGAGAAGCTAGAAAACAACTTCTCAGTCAACGACCCTGCGTCAGTTTGGAGAGGCCTGCAGGACATTACCAACTACAGGAGACCATCCCCCCACCCTGTGGAAAACCTCCCACGAGTGGACGACCTGAACAGCTTCTACTGCAGGTTTGAAAAGGCCCTTTCCTCACCTCTCAAGCACACAAAGGGATTACCTGCACCCCCAGCTTCCCCCTCCCGCCTCTCCTCCAACCCCCACCTGCACTAAAGGTCTATGAAGAGGATGTGTGTCGGCTCTTCCAGAGACAGAAGACCAGGAAGGCTCGGGGACCTGACGGTGTGTCTCCCTCCTGCCTGAGAGTCTGCTCTGACCAGCTGGCTCCTATTTTCACTAGGATCTTCAACCGATCGCTGGAGCTGTGTGAAGTACCCTCCTACTTCAAATGCTCCACCATCATCCCGGTCCCCAAGAAGCCCTCCATCACAGGATTGAATGACTACAGACCTGTCATCCTGACATCTGTGCTCATGAAATCCTTTGAAAGACTGGTGTTGCACTACCTGAAGGGCATCACAGGCCCACTGCTGGACCCTCTGCAGTTTGCCTACCAGGCAAACAGGTTGGTGGATGATGCAGTCAACATGGGACTGCACTACATCCTGCACCACCTCGACTCCCCAGGAACTTACTCAAGGATCCTGTTTGTGGTCTTCAGCTTGGTGCTCAACACCATCATCCCAGAAATTCTCCACCAGGAGCTCATCCAGTTTGCGGTGCCTGCCTCCACCTGTTAGTGGATTACCAGCTTCTTAATTGACAGGAGGTAGCATGTGACGCTGGAGAGCATCACATCCAGCTCCTGGTCCATCAGCACTGGCGCCCCCCAGGGGTATGTCCTCTCCCCACTGCTCTTCTCCCTGTATACCAATGACTGCACCTCAGGGGATCCTTCTGTGAGACTCCTGAAATTTGCAGACAACACCACAGTCATCAGTCTAATATGGGACTGTGATGAGTCTGCATACAGACAGGAGGTGGAGCAGCTGGTCCTCTGGTGCGGGCAGAACCACCTGGAGCTGAACCCGCTCAAGACTGGGGAGATGACAGTGGACTTCAGGAGCAGCCCCCCAGCCCCACCTCACCATCCACAACAGCACAGTGTCTACTGTGGACACCTTCAGGTTTCTCGGTACCACAATCTCTAGGGACCTGAAGTGGACTCCCCACATAGACACTGTCCGGTAAAAGGCCCAGCAGAGGCTGTACTTCCTGCGACAGCTCAGGAAGCTCAATCTGCCTCAGCAACTGCTGATCATGTTCTACACGGCCATAATCCAGTCTGTTCTCTGCACATCCATCACCGTCTGGTTTGGATCTGCCACCACACTGGACAGGAATAGACTGAAACGGACAATCAGGTGTGCAGAGAGGATTATTGGGACTGATCTTCCCTCCATCCAGGACCTGTACAGGTCAAGGGTCAGGAAATGGGCAGAAAACATCCCTGTAGACCCCTCACACCCTGGACACAATCTGTTTAAACTCCTCCCTTCTGGTAGGCGCTACAGAAAACTGTTCGCCAAAACTACCCATCACAAAGACAGTTTCTTCCCCTAGCCTGTCGCTCTGATGAACTCCTAAACGGTCACAGAGTGCCAGGACAAACAACACTTGCATCCTTGTTCACTGTATATATTTAAAAAAAAAAAAAAAGTTATATTCTTTAATATTTGATATATAGTTATATATTTTTGTATATTGTATATTCTGTATATTCCACTTCTTGCCTTGGTTTGTGTACTTATGTCATTTCTGGTACTTTGAGAGCTACTGTAGTCTACCAGAGTCAAATTCCTTGTATGTACAAACGTACTTGGCAAATAAAGCTGATTCTGATTCTGATTTAGAAGAATACGTATGTTTGATTTCGCATAGTCTGAGTGAACAACACTTTAAGTGCTATTACTGACCAGGATTTATTTTTGAAAAGCATATTTAGCAAAAGGAAGGAGGCAGAAGGGTTGGTGTCAGCCAAACAGTAATTGGTAATTGGTAAAGTTGTACAATGACAATAAATGGAATCATCTTGACATCACGCTAACAACAAAAATCACTTCTGGTTAGACAACTGGCAATTGATTTTAATTGCAGTTTTATGTAAAATCGGCAAACTTGTTTATTTCTGTTGCTATTTTAGGCTGTGACTTTAACGCTTAAAGATATTTAATTAAACACAGTGCTCCGACTTATCTGACGTTTCTGCTGTGCTTATTTTCTGTTGCTTTGCTCGCATATTTGATAAAACAAATCTAGAAGCTGAGTATTGTACTGTCACAGACAGGGGGCCACAGCAGACATATGTTAGCCACCTAAAAAATAATATCAGTTTAAGTGTATGCTATATTTGGAATATACTCACTCCTTTACCTCAGACACTAAGAAACTGAGGCAGTGGTAGACCAGTGTCTCCCATGTTCTGCAAAGCAAAATGTCTGTTTTTGTCAGTGGAGTCTGGTGGCTTCAGCTTCATCTCCCCATCTAAAAGGGTTGTCTGATGGTATAGTCAAGCATTGAAAATATTCTAAACATAAGGTAGATTTAAACTGATATTGACTTTTTTTAGGTGGACCTATTTTTAAGATGGCTAAAATCTCACCAATTGAAGCAGTGTTTGCTCAGCTCAGTTTGATTTCTTGTACATGAAAAGGGAGTTTTCTACCTAGAGGTTACTGTAAACAAACATAATAATTTGGTCTGCAGAATAAGGAAGTAAAGAGCCAGAAACAGACACAACTCGCCTCAGTAAGAGTGGCTTGTTCTGAAATGCGTTTTCTGCAAGCAGGCCACAGCGGTCAATGCAAGGATAGCTACACTAAATAGATAACTACGTAGCCTAAATAATGAACATAATTCATAACGTGTTATACACTCTTTAGAGATGAAACAAAAAAAAAATTATTTCCTGTAGAAAATGCATGTGAACGCTGACAGCTGAAATTAATCAAAAAGCATTGCCAAAAATGCAGAAATATGAAAATAATTTCCTAAAAAGTATCTGGAAGCTCAAATGCATTGACTGCATAGCTGAAAATGTGGAAAATAAAATGTAAAACTGGCAGAGTTGAAAGCTGAACTACGGTACCTAAAGATAGTAAGAGCACAATGTAAGAATACATTGTTTGAAAAGCTGGAGGCCAAACTGTAACACTGTTGAAGGCGGAAGTTTAAATGAACTGAAGGGCTAAAAGAAGAAATGCTTTGTGCTATCAACAAAAAAAATGTAGAAAAACGTTGAATACAAGCACGAATGTCCTTAAAGAGCATAACATTTTGACATTTTAATTGTTTCAGTAGCTGAAAGTATGCAGTAGTAGTCAATTTTACAAAAATCTACATCTAATTATTTTGTGACCTGTTTAACGCTTAAATGAAGTTTGTAGAACAAAGTATTGAGAATGTTAGCATATACAAGTGAAGTTGACTAGATTTGACAATTTTAACAATTCACTGCTGACTACTGAAAAACTACTGAAAATTTTAAAAAGCTTTAAATTTGATCATCTTACTATCAGTGGGCTTTTATTATCAAAATTTGTCTGGGCTCCATAGTTAACTAATGTTCTCATCTGGGGGCTTTTATTTCGAAAATCCAGCCCTGTCTGGGGGTTTTTATTTACCAGCAGGGGCGTTTCTTTTGAAAATTTAGCCTTGTCCAGGGCCACCCAGTACATTCCTGTTAGCATCTGGGGGCCAACACCAACAACACCAGAGCCACCACTGTGATCTTCAGTTACCTTGTTGGTGCATTAAAGAAACTAAGAGCTGAGAGACTTCCCTAGCAAAGCTGGAACTGCCAAAGCTGGAAGATAAGAGGAATTGTCTAAAAGTGCTGAAAGAAGAAACACTTTGTATTTATCTCTGCCATTATAAGAAATGATGAAATAGGCACCATATTGGGTAACACTTTACATTAAGGTACTGTAAAAAGCGTTAATTAATGCTTAATAAGCACAAATTAACAGTTAATGAGCACTAGATGTATAAGATGCTTATTAATATTAATAAAACTATATAAGTGTTTATTATAGCTTAAGTTGACGGTTATTATGGCTTATAGGAGCATTATAAGCACTTAATAGAAACTTTGGTAGCAGTTTATAAACCTATACTAAATATTAATAAGATGTCTATTTACATTAATTATCATTTATAAGGGTTAATTATAGAATAATAACCACATTTATTACTGGTTTATAAGAGACTATAAGACCCTATCAGATGAAATTAACAAGGTGTTTATTAACATTAATAAAACCTAATGAGTG